CCGACCCCATTTGAACTACAGGTAACACCGTCTTGGGTTGTGACCCCAAGGTTGAAAAACACTGCATTTTGTGCTGTATGTTCTTAATATATTAGCATTGTGTCCTTAAATCATAAATTTATTTAGCGACAGTATAATTTTTTTTTTTTTTTTATGGTTTGCAGAATTAAGTCAAGAAAAGAAATATGGTGTTGATGCTGATTCTCATTCATGCTGAAACATGGTTTTATTCTTTAGTCAGCTCTTATGGAGGTTCCCAAGACAGATGTTTTGTAGTTTTGTCTAATCAATGAAAGGAACAAAAAAAAAAAGTTAACCATGATAATAAAAATAATGGATTTTTTTAAAAGATTCTTTTATATAAATTAATGAAAAACATAAAAGCACGAACCCAGGGACCCTCTCACCCACCACCAGCCCTTTTCTTCTTGTTTTTCTGGCAGCTTGACATGGGGGAAAACCTCCATACGTTTACAATTGATATATGCACGTGTTTTATGTATGCACAGATTTAAGGGGGAAAACAAGTAAACAAAAACATATGGTCATCTGATTTGCTGTAAATGCAGTTGTTTTCTCAGGAATGGTGTCCAAGAATTGAGAAGGTCAGGTGTTCTGGCTTTTGTTTGACGCACTTCTGTCGTTTTAACCACATCACTATTGACTTCACGTGTGTGGATCAAACATGGATTTCTCCTCTGTTTTTTGGCTCTGCTCTGTCAGTGGAGGTATTCACTGCACCGTAGGACCATGAAGCAGCGCCTGCACGCTGTGCACGGTTCTGCTTGTTAACTGGGACGTTTGGCCTCAGTACGTCTTCGGCTCAGCTCACACAGTTAGAGTCACAGTTATGACAGTCTATGAGCAGATGCATGACCCAGAGCTCTATAAAAATGTCCAGATTTTACTGGATGATTGATGCCTCGCAGACTGCTGAGTGAAAATGCAGGTAATATGATTCCTCGGCTCCCAGTCAAAACATGCCTGACAAGAGGGCAGCGTGACCCACATTCTGCTGTCGTCAGCCTGCCTACTTTTACCAGCCACAATAGATGTTTGAGCCCACAACAAAAGGAGGTTTGACGACAGAAATCGTGAGAAAATTATGGTAATAAAAAGAAAAGAAAAGAAATCAACTGAAAATGAAGGAAAAATTGACATCACTGCTCTAAGCTGATACAAATTATACACATTTGAAGAACTAGGAAACATTAATTTATCTTTTGCATTTGTCTCATAGAAGGTTTTATTTGGCCTGCTGTTTCTTTCTGTGACAATATTTTCATTGATTTTTTTTTTTTTACTTTAACCAGGGCTGTTTAATTCAATGTGAAATATAAAACAGTTCACACGTAACTATTTACTAGTTTGCTAACTTGTAGCTACTTGTGGTTGAAATCTACTTTTCTCCTTTTATTAATTATACTTAAATACCTACAGATACCTATAGATGTCCCTGTGTCCATTTGTGTCCATTTTAGGTTCTCTGAGTGAATTTGGAGTGTAGGCTAATATTTATAGATTGAAGATATTCCTGGAGACACATTTATGTAAATGTAAACAGTTAGTCCTTGTTTGATCTTTATTGAAGTTGTGTCTGAGTGGGTTTAAAAATGAACTCCTTGCAGTCTGAGTGGATCTTCACAGGCTGACAGTTGAGTGACGGTGGAGAGCCACGGTCTGGTGAGCATGGTACACATTTGTGGTCATCCAGTCTAATTAGTCTCCCTGTTGCTCATATATAATACTAAATTAAATAGTTAAATGGGTAGAAGAATCTCCTGGTCTGTAAACAGGTGCAGAGTTTTCTGGACTTCATTTACCGACTGTCTATTGGAACCAAACCATCCTCACTTACTGGAATTTCAGCTCACTCCTACACTAACATTTTCAAAGGCACAGTAGGAGAGCATGACTAATCGTGAAAATATTAAATCATTTATAACACATTATTTCTGCAAACTTCAAGTATGCAGAGTACAGCGTGTCAAATCTTTTAGAGTATTTGGCTAACTAACAATGAAGTTTTATAGTCCAATTGATGGGTTTTTACTTATTTCCTGGTTTAAAAAAACTATGACCTTTATATCTCCTGTTATTTTGTTATGTTTTTGTCTCTTATTTTTCTTTATGCAAAAATAACTAGATGTGTCTGAGAAAAAGTTATTATGATTGGCCACAGGTTTTAAAAATTGATTAGAAAATACTAAACATGAAGACAAATTTGAGAATAGTCAAAAAGAATAACCCGAGAACTTAAATCTCACAAAGGGCAGAGAGTAATCTAAATAAATAAATGTTAATGTATATGACGATACATTTATCTGTATTGTAGACTCCATTAGCATGTTCATGTTCACATGTTCAAGACCGGATCTAACGGCTACAGTTCCAAAAGTTGCCAACAGAGGGCAATGAAAGTCATAGTTTCCTGATAACCCTTGATCAAGTACATGTGTTAAATATTTCTTCTGGTCCTTCTTGGATTTTAGTGCCAAATGTTGGACACTGAATTAAAAATGTTAATAAAAAGTACAAGATAAAATTAAAATGATTCTAAATTTATTTGTATAACTGCATGACTGCATTAGTTTTTCAGGGTACGGTTCATATGTTTCTTGCTTGTGCATTTGCATCTGAAAACAACTCTAGCTGTCAGAGAAATGTATGGATATCAGAGTTTTAAGCATCAAAACCAAAATATAAGTCATTCCTGTCTGCACTTATACACTTTTCTACTTCACCACTCAGTGCTGGAACGTGTCCAGACACTGGTCACACAGGGGGTACTGCTTTAAAGTGGTGTTGAGAAAAATTCCCCTTGTTTCTTTTTATCTTCAGGGCTTCATCTGCTCTTGGTGTGACATGTTCTTTCTAATTTGTCTCCATCTCCGGCCAAAAGGCCTCAATGCACTCGTCAAATGTGAGTAATTATGGTTAAACCTCAATGCTGCAGGACATTTTTGAAAGTCCTTTTTAAAAAATCCTGAAAAACACAAACACTGGAGTCTAAATATCAGTATCAGCTACAGACCAGCTAGGACAGCTAGAAGTGTTAAGTTAACAGGTAAATGTTAGCCAAAATGTCTAAGGTACAATTATTCATATATTTTAAAATGATATGATTTATATATTAAAACATATATACACTTATAAGCTAGACAGAATATTCCAAAAGAAAAGCAGGACAATTTCTTTTTTTAGTAAAAAATAATTGCAAGATTTTTTTTCAAAGAACAGCAAATTAATGTAGTGGCAAAATGAAGCACAACAAGCATAAAGTGTTAGCATGTTAGCCAAATATTTTGCAAATAAAAAACCTGTTAAAACCTGAAAGTGTTGGCAGTAGTTAATATCGATAGCAAACATAATACTATACAGAAAATGGCAATTGGGTTTAAAAACACAACCTAAAAGTAGGCCACAACATAACTAAATGCTAGAATTTAAGTTTTACAACAAAAACATAACAATACAGGTAATGGGTAATTATCCAAAATAACCCTAAGAATTATATTATTTGGGTTTTGCCAGAATGGAGCTTGAACACCTGGATCTGCTTTTAAAGCCTTACTCTCCTCTTTGTTTGCAGTGAATTGTAGCATGTTCTACACATTTAACGCAATTTTCGTTAAAGACTGGTCAAAAATGTTCTTTTAAGCACTACATTTATTAAGCTAAGTGATCAGGCTGTGGTTTCTCCGTTATTATCCTACTGTGGTCACAGTGGTCATCTGAAAGTATTTGAGTAGCATTTTAGTTAGACAGCCACTTCAGCACGAGTGGTCACAGCAGCCATAAAACTATTGTCGTGGGCTGTTAACCAGCATGTGTTGTAAATGAAAGGTCCAAATGGTGCTCATTAGTGGCCTCTCCCACGCTGGTCATCACAGAGGACTGGAGAAGGGGCTTTAAACACACACACACACACAGGAGACAGAAAACCAATTCTCAATGCAGCAGCAATGGCTTGTTGTTTTTGTTTGTTTTTTTAACATTTAGAAAGCCTACTAATGTGACCTCTGAAAGCTAGGAGCAGGCCTCATGATGCATGTGATGACTGTGATGACTGTCAGCAGATATTGTATGGCCACGAAAGCTGAACTGATTTCAACAATCACATTTTTGCCAGTCATTTTTGCCAGACCTTGGTCATTTTAATTCTCTTGTGGAATGTTTCTACCTAAGAACTCATGGGGCCTGACATACTCAACAAAAAAGTAAATAAAAAAATAAAACTAACCAAGTGAAAAAAAAGGAAAAAGCAAAACACTCAAAGAATATTGTGACATAAAAAGTCAACAATACATTGCATAAATGCAGAATAATAATAAGCTAAACTTTCAAAAAGCAACCAGAGGATAATGATAATAATTTCAGGCAAATTACTAGAAGTATATTGATATACTAACAAAATAGCAAAAGAAGATAACGATTAAATAAATAAAAAGACAAATGAATTAATGAATGAATAGATAAATAAATAAATAAAGATAAGAAGCTACAATTTTTATATATTCAATACTTTCTTGTGTATTTTCACAAACACACTCTTCAGGATAAATAGTGTTGCAATAGTCCAAATTCAGGGGCTTCTGTCTACTTTGAAAATTGTTATCTAAATTACTGTTGTGAAAACTGATAAAAAAAAGTTCCTGTATTGTCTAAAGACATTTAAGTCACGTTTTATTATACATTTGAGTACTATTAATTAGATGTTAAACCAAAATTAGGATATTTTAATAGAAATATGTGCTGTTAGTTTTATATTCAATGATATCATATACCATTTAATGGCTTGTTTAGACAAGTTGGTATTCTTGCAGTTACTGCACAGACATATTTACAGCACATTAGTGAAGCAAGAATAAAAAGGTGAGTCAAAAAAGAAAGGCACTGCAATATTGTTTATAGTATAGCGTAGATATATAATCCAAAATAGTTTTACTAATGCAAATAAAGTGCAGGAAATCACTTGTATATTTGTACATACACATTGAATGTCCAATTGTTCAGCATCCGGAACATTTCACACAAGTGTTTCTGCCCGGAAATAATATGCAGTAGTACACGAAGAGAGCCCTTAACGGAAAATAAACAGGACAAAACAAACGGGGTTTTAAAAATGGCAGAGGTAAATTAACAACAATTATTCTTTACTTGCCCCTTGTTTGTGAATATTTATATCTGTAATGTGAAGCTAAATCTTTATTTTTTGTGATTTATTGGAAAATCATAAGCTGCTACTGTTAGCTTGTTAGCTCACCGACCGCTCGGTTAAATCGCAGAAATGGTCTTTACTAAAATTAGTTACAATGTTGATTGTCAAATGTTACACATTACCCATTTTATCAATAAAATATGTTATATTCGTGGATTCATTTTAACTGGAATCTGAACTGTATATCCTTGTATGGTTTGACATGTAGTCGGTAACGAGCAAAATCTGAGACTTAACATAAAAAAATACTTAATGTTATACTATACTATATAAAAACAACAACGAACCATAGTCCATACGAATATATTAAATAAATAAATTACTAAATAAGATATTAAACAGACATAAAATGGAATGCAAATTAGCTTTTTTCATTTATAGAATATACCCAGAATTAAGTCTTCTTTTTTTTTTAAACACTAAAGTTATCCCAGAAAATACTTTCTCCCTTATCTATCCTATGCATTGTAGGTAAATGCAATCATGTTTAATGTTATATTCATGCAAATCTGTCTTTTTTTAAATTATGTTGGGCACATGTACACTGTAAACAACTGTAGTGGTGTTTAATAACTCCCCTCTACTGTTTCCACAGACCCACAGTTTGCAGGACATGAGGCAGCAGGCAGCCATTGCTGCCAAAGTCTTCATTCAGAGAGATTACACCAATGGAACTATGTGCCAGTTCCAAACCAAATTCCCCTCAGAGTTGGATTCCAGGGTATGATACAGATCTTTGGTGTATCCCTCAGAATAAGTTGTTTGTTCCACCACATTTGCACATAAAAAGGTCTAGCAGAACATTGCTGGCGTAGCACACACCCACCATTTTTCACAGTTATGATATGTGGTTATAATCTCTGCTATCTCAAAAATACACATTCAGTTCTTTTGTTTTCTGCTGGTGTTAAAGACAATTCTTAACTGACTGTCAGTCCTGAGAATTGCTCTGAGGTATGATCTTTGGTTAATAAATGTTAACTATTTCTGACAAACATTTGTTAAAAATCACATTACATATTTTTTAAAGTATGATTAATAATATTTCTTTTATTCCATAGTATAATGCAGAGGAAACTAATGTTCCCTCTCTGTTAAATGAGCAGAGAAGAAAGAAGTGTCAGTGAGAGGATTCTTCTCTAACAAGAAGTACTAGTTCTTCAAAACTCTGAAACCTCCACATTTAACTATAGCACACTTTGTTATTGTGACTCATTAAAATTTACCGTAGAAATGCACAGCAGGGTCAGCCAATCAGATCAAAATATATTATTTATATAGCTAGAACATTTATGTAAGCTGACATTAACCGTTTTTCTTTTTGCCCGGCACTAAAAAGTTTCAACTGCTATACACTATGTCCTATCCTTGTCCCAGCCACAATTGTTGAATCACTGTCCAAGGACAATGTCCATATCCTCAAACACAACCCTGTCAAGGCCCTGAAAATTAAATCTGAAATCAGTAAGAACATGGATCCAGAACTGACAAATATAATCAGCAAAGAAAGAACCTCTGCTGGACTCTGTCCTTGATTGAACCATGAAGGAAGTAGTTAAGGAGTAAAGTGACAGTAATATTGTGATGTAGCAAGAAGAGGTTGTTGGGATTGAACAGGCTCTGGGCCACATTAGTCACGGTGCCACTCTAAAGGGTTCAGAGATCGTAGGACATAAAGCTGCAGTTTAAAAAAGCAGGCACCACATGAAAAGAGCAGCTTCACAACACTTTAACCAGTCACTGGTGGTTTATTGGTACTTCCTTTTTAATTGGGTGGTCTCTCCCATGTTTTTTATTTATTTTTTTATTTAAGGGGGGCAATTGGTTACACACACTCACACACGCATGCTTTTCCTGCAGGAGGTACTGGTGGAACCATAAAATGTTTTTCCCGCATCTGTGTTGTAATGATTGGATTTATAATATATGCAATATAATGCCAGGCAGCTTAGTGGCCTTCATCCATTTTCAGACCACTCATGATGAATAAAGACTTTGTGTTCTCTGAGCCAACATTTTTGTGTTACCAATATCTGATTGTATTGTTGGTTTCACAGATGTTTGCCTGCTGTAACATGACGTTAATGAATACAATTGCCTGAGGCTGTGTGCTCTAGTTTTGGTAACGGGTTCTTATTTAAATACTTTTGAAAATTTGACTGAGACACACCACATTTTCTAAATTTAACATAAATCTAATTCTAAATTTAGTTATCTTTATTGTTGCACTAATAGATTTAGGTGTTCTGTATCGCATACTTACCATATGTTACACTTTAATCCAAAATCCAGCAATAAGTGCTACAGTGAAAAAAACTATTTGCATTTAATAATTTTGATTTAATACGGTAATTTTGTTGGCTTATTTTTTGGCTATTTGTTGCTTGTTTGAAGAGAATTGAGCGTCGTACATCAGTGCATCTGCAGTGTAATATTTCATTATACGAAACAAACCTTTATTTATCTCCTTGGAAAACAAAACAGAAACTAAAAAAATGACTTGAACGTGCTGCCTCTGTGCTATTGTATGTATATATGGGGACAGTTACATTTAAATTATGTGCTGTACTTTGTTTGGCTTTCTAAACCCTTTGCAACTCTTTACCCCCATCCATCATTTTTGAATCCCAGTGTGACTGCAACAGATGTTATGGAAAGATGCACACAGAGAGAAATGTGTTTTTAATTGAAGAAAATTAGAAGTACAGAAAAGGCTCACAATGATGAGCACCAATCATGCCCCAGAACTCTGATGTGTGGGGCCACATCACATTGTTACATTCTTTAAGCACAAAAGAGCAGAACATTTTGTGGCTTTTAACAGACCGAGGAGGCCCATGGTCTGATCTTAAAGCTTCTTTCTTTTGACTTTCAATCACTGTGAATCCTTTCTTAGCCAGTACAGGGCGAGTATCAAGATGCAAGTTGAAACAATCCAAAGCTACTACACCCTCCATCAGTCTTCCTCGCAGCATGCTTTCAGTTAAGGACTTAAAAAAGCATTGGTTTGATTATCAGCCAGTCTTTTCACTCCATTTGTTTCTGAAAAGCTCACAAAAAGCAGAGCTAGACCTTAGTGAAGCTCATGGTGCATCTGTGCCACTGTTGATATAAAAACAATAAAATTGCCTCAATTGTCACTGGGTGTGTGAGTGTGTGTGGGTGCGTTTCAGTACTATGTTCAAGAAAAATAAACCAAAGCTTCCTAATGATATCAGGCCATGTTCCCAGTGCAGGAAGGAGTCCCAACATTTCCCTTGATTTATGACCAAGTCTAAGAAACTCCAGTCCTGAATTTACGTAGCAACGGAACACACTGGAGAAAAGGAAATCTGGTGCTACGAAGACGGTTTCCATTTGAGTATCTTGATGAGACAAAAGCCTGGCTTAACCCACTACTATCCAAAGTTACACACCTGGTTGTATCTTAGTCCAGTGATTTTTAACTCTTGGTTCAACTTTCATGTTTCCATGTGTTACAGATTGACAAACAGCACTTTGAAGAAACTGTGCGGATGCTGAATAATCTGTACGCCGAGGCTGAGAAACTGGGCGGCCAGTCTTACATCGAAGGCTGTTTGGCCTGCCTCACAGCATACACCGTGTTCATGTGTATGGAGACTCACTATGAAAAGGTGATGGACACATTCATGCACAAATAGAGCATTGGACACCTAATTAAAGTAATTTGATCTTAGAGGAAGGTAGAATTCTCTTGAGCTATCCAGTCTGCAGACTGTATAGAGCTTTCATTAATACAGCCAAAGCAGTCATTTAGACTTATCTTGTAATTTCTAATTTAAGTCAAGACCTCGTTACAATTGGTAAATCTGATCATATACATAGTCCTGAGATGGGTGTGGAAACCAGGTTTGAATGGAGCTATTGTCTATTGATGTTGATCAATAGACAATTGTAACCAGCCACGGTAGTCTATCCAGTGAGTTAAGATATAATCACTTCCAGAAACATGTCATATCTTTCTGTGACCCACACTGTTAGTACAATCACTGTAGCAACCTGTGGATTGATTTTCATTTAAACTATCCAGAACAATTTTTCCTGGATTCAAATAGAAGACATGAATTTTTAACCCCAACTGTCTTTCCTTAGTGTGTCTTTGCCATGTTGTTTTTTTGCCAAAAGTTTGAAACATTACCTTATTTTTTCTCTTGGAAAGAAAACTCACTCTCAACAGGAAACACCACTTGATTCCATTTTTCATCCATTGTCATTTGTTTATAACTGACACTTGTTTGGGTCAAGTTAACCCAGCTCTCATCGCTCAACATTTAGGACATTACCTCAGTGATGTTGTGCGTGTTTGTAATCTGCCGTAACCACAGTGTCAGTTGTGTGGTAGGTTGTTAGGTACTGGTTTGAATCTTGTTAATTCTCTTGGACCAAGATTTAGGTTGGTTTTGTGTTTGGGTTGAATTTGAATTTAGACATTAATGTCAAGTTTGTAAATGACAGTGGAAATGAATCAGAGGGGTTTATAATAAGATTAACGGCTGCTGCTGTTACTTGGTTGAATCTGTTTCAGCTCCGCTGTAAATCCAAAGTTTTATGACCTGTATGAGAACAGGCAAATAAATTAGATTTACTGTCAACTGAAATGCCTCTTGGCCCAGTTAATATGGGACATAAATGCATCAGAAGTCCAGAGGTTTTCTCTCGTCTCATAGAATCATTCTTTAGGAAGCAACAGTGAAGTCCCCACAAAATAGTTTTGTTTAAGCCATATAAGCAATTACATGTTCAGAAATTGAAAGTTGATATTTCAGTTTGAGGCATTAAGGCCATCTGAAAGTCTTTCCTTCCTTTTCTGTTACGTCCGGTAACTGTTAGTCAATTCAAGTCAATTTAATAATATACACCCATATTTACTCATTTATATAATAAGTTATACATTTACTCCTTCTCTAAATATTATCCTCCTAAACGGTCAAAATATATTGGGTTTATATTAACAATACGGAGCAGAATGAGTTTGTTGACTGAGTACAAATGCTGTTTTTTGTCTTCATGAAATAAGTATGGGTTAAACCAACATCCCTTCATTTTGAATTTGGTATTAAGAGATAATGGTTGTATTTAACCACATGTTTTTCTAAGGTCTTTATATTTTTCAGAAACCACAGCATTACTTCATGCGCAAATATGTCTTACTCTCTTTCTGACTAGAACACTTTGCTGACTAGCTGTGAGTTATGTCAGTGACTAAAAATGCCATGTCTGCTGTCTTCCTTCAGGTTTTGAGGAAGATTGCGAAGTACATCCAGGAGCAGAATGACAAGATCTATGCCCCGCGAGGTCTGCTGCTCACCAACCCCATCGAGAGAGGCCTGAGAGTTGTATCCATTTTCTTTGGTGTCATTGAGACCAGTATTATGGTTTCTTATCTTCTCTTACTAAAGTGTTGATATAGTGTGTTTCACCACTGACCAGCAAGCATTGTAAGAGTTCAGCAATAAATTACAAATAATGAACCAAAGCAACAGGAAAGGCAAAGAAAGGGCAGCTTTAATCTGTCAGGAAACCCTAAAAAGTATCACAGTGAAAGGTCACAGAAACATAAATGAGCCATCATTTAGCAAATGTTTGGAATAAATGTGACTTCTTAGGCCCACCAGTATTTGGAATTCCAGTAAACATGAGTACATTACAACAGAATGAGGAGTTTTCACCATGACCTAATAGATGAGGTGATTTACAGACTCTTCTAACTGCTTTATAGAAAAGCAGCAGTTTAGGGAACTTGCAGGAAATCCAGTGATGTCTAGGGAAACCCTGTAAAAACACCCAGATAAAAATTGCTATAAAATCCATAGCATCTGCATTAAATCATTTGGCGAAACAACATCCTTACTTTACTATTCTAAGTGTTTGGTGTGTGTCTGTGTGCATGTGTGCATATGAGTGACTCAACATTCCTAATTCCTAATTAATCGCAACAGTAAACCAATGAAATAACACAGCATGACTGAAATTGTTCACATCTGATGGTCTTCACCGCAGTCACAGATTGACAGGACTGTGTCACCACAACTGTCAGTAAAACAACTGCTGTGAACACAAGAGAAAGTAGTTTGTGTTAGCAGATAGAATTTAAATTAATCAGACATTTACACTCAGAGGATTCATGCAGAGAGTTGGAAGCTGAGATTACACTTGGCAACGTTCTCAAGTTATGACAGATGTCCAGCTTTTTACCCCAGCGTTTTACCCCAAAAAGTTAGGTCTTCCAATATTTAACTATAAAAGACTAAGAACTAAATTGTGTGTTACTAAGAAATGTTACAATATCAAACAGACTTTGCTTAAATGACAAATACAGTTAATGTTAAGAACGATTCAGTCTCAAGCACCTGGAAGACCTCAAGTGCTTGAAAAGTGTTTTTGTTTGACCTGGAAAAGGTTGTAAAAGACCTGTCTTGATCTGAATATTCATGTTACATTTTGGAACAGTTTGGTGCATTTTTTTGTATTTCTTTTTGACATAAATCAACATTCACTCAGTAAGAAATTTAACCTGTTTTGATTTCAGTAGAACAGTGGAAATGTGGAAAAACTCCTGAGTTGTATTTCTTAACTTCATAGCTACATTATTTCAGTATTCGGTAATTTTATATTTAGTTTCTGTTTTATTGTAGACTCCCCTTTTCATAAAGTGTTATGTTAAAGTTTAAAGAGATTCATTGAAGTACACTAAAAACAAGTTACATCCGAAAGTATTTCAAATAATCTGATTAAAGTACACAAGTGAACGACAGAGTTTTAGAGGTTTGAAAAAAAAACTCTGATAAATAGGTGCCAATTAAAATGCTTGAATGAAATCCTAATGTCTCATAAAGTCACAATAAAATATCTGGTTATTGTTGATTTGTCTAATAGTAACCTTTCAGACATCACCATGCTGTTGTGAACATTGCTGACTAACAAATTCTTCTGCTGGGATCATCATCTGTCAGTGATAAACTCTAGAGAAAGTCCAGAGCCAAATGCAGACATTTCTCAGAATCTCTGACCAAATAACTTCCTTCGTTACAAATGTCGGTGGAATTTCTTCTGTTTCTTAACCGCTGAAACAGAAATTCTCTAGTTTTCCTAGTGCACAAAATTAAGTTAAATCAACTAAAGTTAGAAATATCTTAAGCACATACTCCACGTACAGTACTAAAATCTGACTAACTTTTAATTTACTCAAAGGTGAGTTCATCACGTTTCATGGTTTATTTTAAATTTTGCTCGGTTTCTTAGGGAGAATTTTGCATTTGTGTAATTAAAACTTTTGAAGTTTTTTCTTGACTGAAGACTTTCAGATTGAGGTCACCATCTTTGAGGACAGAGGCCTGACAAGATGAAAGCTGCAGGGTGAGTCACAATGTTAACATGTCTACATTCACACCATACAGCTAACAGAATAACATTTACTGTGATTTCCATGGATTTTTTTTATAAAACAGTTTGTTTTAATGGCAGTAGTCCAAAGATATCAGTAAAGTGGCATTCATACCCTATGTCAGTGGTTCTCAAACTTTTTCTTCTCTGTACCACAACAGTGATCTCTCTGAGTACCACCATGATGACCAACATTAGAATATAGCAGCAAAGGCCTTCACTGTTAGCTTCCACCACACAGGAGAGAGGTTTAGAAAGATGTTTAGAAAGATATTTTTGTTTAAATGTTGTATTAATTGTGCATGGTATGTTTCAGATTTATTCAATTGAAGATATAAACGTGAAAATATGAATTTTCCCCACGTACCACTAGAGAACCCTCACCTGTACAGCGTACCACAGTTTGAGAACCACTGTCCTATGTTATTGTCAAAATCCAAGTTTTTTTTAATTATTTGTGTCACAATAGGGTACTTATGTTGATTTTTAATTTTATTTCCAGTGTTTAACAAGGGTTTTGAGGTTATTACAATGTTTTCAATTCTATATGTTTTAGTTTTGAAGAAGTCAGAGTTTGTCAATGTGGGCTTGGGGTCTTCGTGAAAGTCCTAATGAAAATTGGGGGCGGGGAGGGTTGCAGAAAACAATGGGCACTGCTAGCTAGAGGAATAATTTGTTTTATTTAAACCATAAATAGTGTTTAATTTTTCATGATCACTTTTATCTCCTGCAGAATTAATGCACAATATAAAGTTTGCTGTCCAGCCTGCACACACATACAAACCCAGAACATGAAAAGTTTTGGCAACATTAACTGCATTTCTGTTGCTTTAATTAAGACATTATTACATTTTGGTTAATTAAGCTCATTTCACTAGTTACCCTTTTGACTACCACAATCATTACAGATTGTTCACATATGTTCAGAGTCATAACTCAAGCGTTTTAATGGATCAAGTGTATTAATTACAGTTTAGCAGTTGATTGTGTTGCAGTCCGTGCACAAGGTTAAAATCATTGTGTTACACTTAACGTCCTACGGATAATACAAATAATTACCCACAGGACTAGAGGCAGCGTCAGTACTTTCTGAGTCTACAGGATACACTTGAAGATTGTTCTCAACAACAACGAAGAATTCAGATAGAGGCTTTTAACTTGCAGCGTGCTGGATCCAAATTATACAGAAGTGTTCTTTATGAAGACATTGGGCAGACCTCAGTGTGGACTGTGATGCTGACGGAGTCAGACGTACTACATAAATATTTTACATGTGGTTGAAGTTGTGTTTGGCAATATTTTTGAATCCACAGACTCCTGTTAATGGATCAGTCATTGCCTTACCACCAGTACAAATACAAATGTATGCAGACAGTTATTTAAGTCTTCTTTCAAAATTTCATACTCCAGCGCTTTTGTAGGACATGGAATGTAAACCAACCTCTTTTTAGTAGCTGTTGAGTGAAGAGCGCAGTGGAGCTTTGCCACGGTCAAAGACAGAACCTACCACAGGCTGTAAACAGACAGAACTCACTTAGAATGCATCCTCTTACCTATCGTTGGAGCCTCTTTCTAGAAACCTCACTGAATTATGAATATCATATATATATATTTTTTAAATTAATTGTTTTTTGGGAATATCTTCAGAAGTTCAGACTAGTCTAGGATTTGTAAAAGAATTTCTAAAAAAAGCAACCACATAGCTAGCCTTACATAATGTAAACACACTTTGAGTTCAGCATTTGCTCATATACAGTGTGTTTTTATATCTAATGGGTTTTTTTTGTGTGTATATATATATATATATATATATATATATATATATATATATAT